CTGACTTGTATAAAGTAAGGAAGCATTGAATGAAATCCATCTTATTCGTCATTTATGTATGATTGAAAGATTAATGATTGCCTAAATGTTCTTTTCTATTAAATTCATTATAAGACTTGTTCAAGTATCCTTAAATTTGATTCTCAATTCCAAACAACTCAATTAGGCATACATATGACAGAGATCTTCATTAGATTGCCGCTTGTCGCCATCATTTTGCACCTTCCACATAGACATGTCCACTTGAAACCCCAAACCGAAACTAGAGACAACTATATACATATGCCCACTTAAATATATTGTAGCGCATCAGATACCTATGCCCCGGGCCTCTCAGTTGCATATGTGTCTGTGTGTAACCTGATTTCCGTCTCAAAGGATATGCGCTGCCTGCGGCCCAGCTCTTAAGTGATTTTTGCACCGCATTGGAAATTGAATGGAAAATGGACAAAACTCGTTTCTCGCTCCATGTTGATGGCCAATGCTGATGCCAATGCTGATGCCGATGCTGAGGCTGAGGCTGACTCTGATGTTGCAGCCGGTGCTGCATGGGAAGCTGATGCTGAAGCTAAAGTTGTTGCTGTGGCTGTGGCTGTATCTGTAGTAAGGAGCCGAGGAGCTCTCAAGTGCATGTGCGCAAGTACTTAAAGGCACACAAGTGCCTGAGCGACAGATGGACGGACAGACAGAAGCTGCTTGTAGGTTACTAGTGGAACGCTTGGCCCGCTTGGCAGGCTGGTGGCACTCAAATCTTTGGTGAGAGCTCTGTGTGCGACGCCGCGCATTAATTTTCGCCGGCCAAGCGAACATCTGTTGCGCTGACATAAATCTTGAGTGACTGACCGCTGGAGCGCAATACCGCGAAGCCAACTGCAAACGTAGAATCGGCACCCAGAACCCGTTTTCAATTTGGACATCTCGTAAAGCTGAAACAGGGACATGCACCGTTTTGCCTCCTCTTTTTTTTAGCATCACGTCTGGCGCAGATTCATTGAGAAACTTTTTGAATGAATGGCATTGAGAGTGCACAACACACTTAGAAAAATGCACTAGCAAGATGTATCTCCAATTTATATCCAGACTCTAAGTATAGTATTCGTTTGAATATGAATAAAGCACCAAAAAGATTTATAATTTTAATTTATCAATTTTATGAGTATCAACGAATTTTAAATATTTGTAGTGGCAGAAAGCGAAAAGTGGCGAAGAGTAAAGCCATCCTAAATAGCTTAAGCTCCAATCTAGAGGAACGAAAATAACAGAATTATGAGGTTCCCTCAAGAAAGTAAAGAGATAATAAAGCAGCTTAGCAGAAGCAACGCAAGGAACGCAATCCATGTTTAATCATTAGGCGTCTATATATTGCTGTACTAGTTTTTCATAGGAATGGAATGGTATATCTTAGGGGTCACAAAGCTTATAATTAAATCTAGTAAAAAGTCCGCCTATAAAAACAATAATTCCAGAAGGACGTACATCTCTTAAAAAATCCTCACGTTAAGAAGTAGTGCCAAACGGGACTATTAGGTTTTGTGTACCTATAAATAAACTAAACAACTACTGAGCCAAAAAGTGCCAGATAGTCCACCGAAAGCAATCACAAATAGCGGCAAACAGTGCCATATCATACTTGTAAGGGTTCCACAACTGGGCAATCGGTACAAATAAAAAAGAGTGGGTGTGGCAGAGAATACCAGATAGTTTTCAAAAACAAAATACAATACAAGTCCTTTATACTAGAAAGCTTAACAGTAGGAATTAAGATTGGAATTAATATTCAGATAGAGCTAGGCTAAGAGGTTCATAAATTCTACGAGCTCATATTTTGAGTAAATAGTTTCGGAAAATAGTTTAATTTTTCAAGACCTTTTGAGTTGTGAAAGTATTTTCTCTACAAATCCGATTCGTCCTTCTGGGAAGAGAAAAAGTAAGAGCTGATTAAGAGCGATAAAGGAGATGGCGTTTTGCAGTTTCCCGACTCTTCGCATATACAATAACCTTAATCGACTAAGTTATCGTTTTCTATAACCATTAAAGTGCATACATTGATTGTGTATGCAAACTTTATTTGAGATTTGTAGATCTTGCAGCATGAGACCATTATAAGCCTGTTGAGATCCTTACTTGCGAGTTTTTGAAGCTCGCTTTTGATGAAAAAATATTAGGTTAGACTTTGTGTTTAGACTACAGTAGAGCAGGAGGTGCCTTAGGGCTTCCAATACTCCTCACTCCTTGCACTTCCAAATAATGCAAATGTAATGTGTGATATGCTTCCTTAAAAGTTAAACTCTCCCTATCAAACAATAACCAAACCCATGGGTTTTTTAGATACCCCAAATATATCTTAGTGCTAAGCAGCTTAGTAGGACTAGGAGTGTTGAAGGCTGTGACTCGGACTTACCTTTTTCTCGGTGAGTTTCTCGCAACGTCGCTGCTTGCAGATCTGGTGGCTCTTGTCGTTGCGACAGGGGGCGCATTCGCCGCAGTTATCCTTGCGCTGGCAACCGACACATTCGCCGCAGCGCTTCCGTTTCTTCTTCGACTGAAAGACAGAGGCGGTAGAGGAGTTGGAGTGGTGGGTGTCGGTGTATGTGTTTGTGTTTGTGTCGGTTTCGGTTTCGGTATAGGATTGGAAGATGGGCGCGGGCGGCAACGGGGCCTGTTAATTTGCAGCGTTTGCAAGTTGCGCACGCAAGCCGGGAGGGAGCGCCCAGCTGAACTTACCTGCTTATCCATGGCATTGGCATCGTTGCTATCCCCCATGCCGAGGGCGCTGAGGGGACTCTTGAAATTGGCGGTACTGGAGACAGCATCGACTTGGCCAGGATTTGTTGGGTCGACGTCCATGCCGCTGGCCTCACTCTCGGCACTGGACTCGAGCGAATTGGGTCGATTTTTCCGCCGCTCCTTCTTTCTCGCGTCCACCCGCGCAATGGGCGACTGCAGCAGTTTCTCCACCTTGATGGGCGTGGTCGTGGTGGGCGTTGGCGTATGCGGCTGTGTGGTGGTGTGCGGAGTATGCGAGCCCGTGCTACTGGCGTGCGGAAAACTGTTGCTGTTGCCATCGTACGAAGTGGGCGTGTGCATGCCCATGGGCGTAAGTCTAGCCCCACCTATCGACTGCACCTGCGTCTGTCCACTGGCCAGACCAGTGCTGAGATCAAAGTCATTCGTGCTGTTCGTGTCCTTCTTCAGGCCCAACATGCCGCCGCTAGCAGTTAGCATGTCATAGTCTGCAGCGGCAAGACTGGTGTCCTTCTTGCCACTGAGCGGTGCAAAACCTGTGCCCAGCGGTGGCTGATAGAGCTGCAAATGGTCGACAGTGGGCGTGGCAGCACCATAGGCTACAGCGGCAGCTGCGCTCGGCGGCGGCACTAACGGATAACCGGCCGTGGCCCGATGATGTGCATGCGGATTCAACGCATGGTGATGAAAGGCATTGGGGGGCGGCGGTGGTGCGCCCAGTGGCGTAAAACTGCCCGATGGCGGCGTAATGCTGGCCTGCATGCCTGGGAGTTGAGTGAGCGGTGAACCGACGCTCATCATGCCCGGCGAGCTAACCGAAATACTGGCCGGCGACATGGCCACCGTTTGAAGGGCACTCATGCCCGGTGGCAGGGCGCTGGCGGCTCCCAGAGGTGTACCGTCGGGCAACAGCTGATCGTTGAAGCCGTGGAATTGACTCTGGAACGAGGGCAGCTTCGAGAAGGGCTCGAATCCGCTTTTGGCGGTTGGTGGTGGATGCGGTTGCGATGGCGTATTATCCTTGGATTCCATTTCCCAGGGACGTGTATAGCTGCCGTTGCTGTTGCTATTACTGTTGCTGTTGCCGTTCGATTGGGCTGCTGTTGCAGCTTGCGCTTGAGATTGTGGTGGTTGTTGTTGCTGTTGCTGTGGTGCTTGTGTGGTTGTGGCCTGCGTGCCGCCTACTGCTGGGGTGGCGGCGGCGGAAACGGAAACGGTATCGTTGCTATGCTGCTGTCCAAGCTGCTGGCTGTGGCCATTGTTGTTGCTGTTGCTGCTGTTGCTACCAGCAGCAGCATGATTGCTGTGGTTGCTGTTGCTGCCAAGTGGTGCTGCAACCGTTGTAGTGCCACCCGGATCGTTGTTGTTGTTGTTGTTATTGTTGTTGCCGGTGGAGGCCGTTGACTGCTGCTGCCGCGCATAGTATTCCCAATGTTGCTGCTGCTGCTGCTGCTCTGCCTGCAACTGTTGCTGCTGTGACAGTTGCTGATGCTGCTGCTGCTGCTGCTGGTGTTGCTGATAGTGTTGCTGGTAGTGCTGCTGATATTGGTGATGATGATGAGGATGATGGTGATAGGAGGCGGCCGTGGGCGTGCCCGAGCTGGCTGCTACGGCCGTCAGCTGTTGACTGAGACTGCTCAGCTGGTTGAGCGGCGTGTTATGCAAATTGACGCTCGCAAAGGATGCGGAGGAGGCGGAATTGGCCTGCAATGCTCCCGATGAGGTATCAACTGTGCCCCCGCTGCTCTGTGCTATTATTGAAGACGCCATTTAAGGACGCAGACTCGCATGGCTGCGCAGTTGCCTTCAATTGTTCACACCTTAATTTTGTTGTTTGCCTGTAGTTTGCTTTTGTTAATTGTTAATTGTTAATTATGAAATTTATTCGTTTATATAAATTTTTGTACACTTGTTTGTTTGCTCACTGCTTGAGGTAGTTTCAAAAATTTGTAATTTGTAATTTGATGCAAGTTGTTGTAATTTGTTATTAAATCGTTTTTGCAATAAATTATTTTGCTTTAGTTGTGTAAAACGCGATACTACAAAGATTTGTATTTATATTTTGAACTCACTGGTTTTGCGTGCGCTTAAGATTTATTTAAAATTTGTATTTGTATTGCGAATTGCTTGGGCGCTTTATATATGTATGCTTGCTATATAGTTTTATATGTATATATATCTATATCAATATATATATATATGCTTGTATATAAATTGCTTACAACTATTTTGTCGTTTATTTGTTGCTTCTGCGTTTGCTTGTAAAGTGCTACTATTAAATTGTTTTTAAAAATTTGTAAGTTTGAAAATTCAAATTTTGTACTTTATTCGTGTTGAAGATATATAATTGTATATATTTGTTGTTGTTGTTGTTCTTGTTGTTTTTGGTGTTTGTTGTAATTTGTAAAAACGGCAGCTATGAAAACGTTCACTTATTAAGTTTTTGTTTTGTTTTGTTTTGTTTTGTTTTACTTTATTTTATTTATGATTTGAATATGCAATTTGTTTTGTTTCTCCTTTAACTTTTCGCTCAGACTTCTTTAATTAATTTATTTTTTATTTTTTTTGTAAATTTGTATGCGTTGTGTTAATTATATATTTGTTGTTGATGTTGTTGTTATTGCTGTTGCTTATAACATGCGTGAATATTTGTTGTTGGGTGTTGATTTAATTATGTTGTTGCTTTACGATGAATTTTGTACTCTGGCTTTTGCTTTAAATTTGATTTGTTTGTTAATATTTGTATATGTATAAAAATAGTTGCGTTGCTGTTTAGTTGAAAATTAAAATTTGTTGGTTGTTTGTTTGTTGATTTGTTGTCGATTTGTTTTTGTTGTTGTTAAATATTAATATTTAATATAATGCCTAATATTTAATGCTTAATCGTAGTAATCTTTGTCTTCCGTTTGTTTGTTTGTTAGGTCTGCTTATAAATTAATTTAACATTAGTGCTCGCGTTTTTTGTTGTTGTTGATGTTTTTATAATTAAGTTATATTAGAATTATGTTGCTTTTCTATATATAATAATGTTATTTTCATTTAATTTAATGCATTTCTTGTTGCTGTAATGTGTGTTTTACTATTTTTGGTTTCAATTTAAATTTAATTTTGATTATGAGCCAAAAGAAATTTCGTTTGCAAAATTGTATTTTCTCTTTAAATTTCATATGCCGGAAATATTGTTGTTATTGTTGTTGTGTTTATCCTCAAATCCTTTGGTTGAAAGCTGTAATGAAAAGATACAAACTGATTAGTGGAGCCAATGATGAGCAGAGAAATGTACAAATATTTTAGAAGTGGTGGTATTTGAGTTAATATTAGAATACTTTGGTTTTTTTAAAACAACAATTTGCTTAATATCGTGGAAAAGAAGAGTTTTTATAGCTGTTAATGATTTGCGGCAAGGATCATTCAGTTGTTTCTTCCAAACTTAAAACATATATATCCTTTCCATTTAAGGGCCCTAAAAATTGCAGCTCAACGCAAGATTTAGTTCAGTTAAGAATTATTTATGCATCAGTTGTACTCGTAGTTAACAAAACAAAATATAATGATGACAAATGGGATCGTGAAGTGGTGGACTAGAGTGCTTCTTTTTCCAAAATTATATTTCATTCGTTTCGTTTTGTACCACTTATTTTTGAAGCATTTTTAATTTAATTTAAAACATATTTCCAAAATGTATTCCATTGACTTTTTTGAGGTTTAAAAAAATGCCTACTTTTAAGATATTATGTGTGCAGATCTGGGGCATATATAGACTTAGAACAAGTCGTAAGATAATTTTGTATTAATAAGTAAAAGCTTTCTCTTATTTAATTAAGACAGTTGGTTCTTTAATAATATATTTTCAAAGCATTCGCAGAATTGCCAATTTAGTAAGGAATTTTTTGTTATCTCCTCATTTTTATATCATAACTACGAACATTCAGAACCCTTGAAACTATTACGGCGTACAACATTGTAACATTTTCACATTTTCCGTAAGAATAAAGTAAAATGAATTCTTGCCCGTTTGTCCTCTTTGCGATCGCACTTACAGAGCATCAAATATGCATAGATTGTCTTTCTTTTGATTTTTTGTTCCCTATAGTACATATATCACATATATATTATACATCCTTGCTCTATGCTTGGCACTTCTTCTGCTTCATGCACTGCCACTTAAGTTTCGCTTTGCTGCCATTTTTATTTTATGCTCCTTCTTGCATTACTTTTTCTTATTTGCTTGCTGGCGTTTTTCACTTTTTGTGTCGTCTTCGTTCTTTCATTTGCTTTAAACATCTACAAACTTCAACACATAATTATGGTCTTTGACTGTATAATGAGCGGCGTTGGCCAAGTCCAAGTCCGGGCGGCTGCAAACGAGGCAGGAAGCGCAGCCAGGCAGCAAAAAAAATGTAAAGGACACTCACTTCTGACTTTATTGCCGGTGCTGGTTCTGTGGTTGTTGTTGCTGCTCTTGCCGCATGTAAGTTATGCTGTCGTTCCCTGGCTATGTAAAAGCTGACTCACACACACACACATACACACACACACTGCACACTCGCACACTCATGCACAACAACAACTACAACAATGCGCGCGTTTTTTAGTCACCGTTTGCCATTGCCGTTTGCCTCTGTTGTCATTTTCTTGCTTTTTTCGCCATTTTTTCTCTGTTGTCTTTGTCTTATTTTTTTTGCTTTTGTTGCTGCGGCTCTTCTTCTTGTTGTTGTTGTTGTTGTTCTCATAAAAAACGGCACAGGTGTACTTTTTTGCGCGTCCTTTTAGCTTTGCCAACCTGCCAACATTTCGTTGCGCTTCACAAAGTTCATTGGGCTGGCTGTTTCCAGGTGTGTGTGTGTGTGTGTGTGCGAGTGTGAGAGTTTTGCGCTCTACCCTAGAGGGAGTTTCAGTTCAGTGGATTGGTCCGAAATAGAAGCTTTTAATTTTGGAATATTAGCAGAGTTGGCAGAAAGGGTTGCAAAATTTTGTTCGTGGCGTGAAAATGGCACAAAAAAAAATCTATTTAGACATTCTTAAGGGAACAGTTTTCTTTGAGAGTCTGTGAGTAATTTACAATACTAAATGTCTTTTACAGTTCCAAGGACATACTAATTTGTTGTACTAATTCGTCATATTATTATTTTAAAACTTTTAAAATTTTATTCAACTGAGTAAAAGGAGAATGTTTTCATTGTTTTAATAGAAATAGCTTATTATATAAAAGTATTTTTCTTAAAAACAATGCATATATTTAAAGAAAGAGCAGACTGTTTTCTTCCTATATTTTAAAAATATTTGGCTTTTATCGTTTAGCAAAAATATATATATGATCTGAATTATTTTTTTATATTTATTGTAGATATTTGTGTTATGAAGAAACGGGTGGAATAAAAATAGGAAACATTAACAAATAAATATGAAATTTGGGCTTTTATGCAAAGAAGTAATTATTTCAATCAATTTCAAAGGTTTAGAATAATTATAAAATTTTGTTTAAATACATCTTTTTACTACAATTCCAAAATACAACTATTTTAAATTAATTTCAAGTACTGGAATTTTTTAAACTCCTGATACTATGGATTTAAAGCAGAAGCGATATTTTCCATATCTTTTTAGACTTGTCCTACAAGATTTGTACTTTCAGGTTAATTTGTAGAAAAATATACATTTTTTTTAACATAATTAAGAAATTATACATTTTTTAAGAAGTTCATTGGAAATTATTTGTGCGCATTAAACGATCTTATTTTTTAAAGTTTAAATATTTGTGTAAGTCAAGTAATCCCAATATATAGGCGAAATCCACAAAAATTGAAATCTGATTACTCGATGTTGGTTCTAGAAGGTCGAATAATTTTAGGAAAAAACTCACACTGAATAGTATTTCTTAAAGATATGTATTGAATAGTGCCGCAAAAGCTCTTTAAGCTCACAAATCGACCTCTAGCAGGTCATTCCCAATGCCATGTGATTTTAAGCCCACCTACTGTTAACCTTTACTTAAATTTCATTTTAATTTTGTGCCATGACTTGTTATATAAATTTTTAATCTACGGCAAGTCAGGCAAGTGATTTGATTGTCACGTTGATGTTGTTGTACTACACTGGCTGTTGTAGTTGTTGTTGTTGTTGCTGCTGGTGCTGGTGCTGCTGTTACTGTTGTCTTATATCGTTGTATGTAGAATGACAATTAAAGTCTGATTATATTGTCGGCTACAATTTCCTTTTGCTGCAGCTCAACTCAGCTCAACTGAGCTCACATTAGTCACTTGCGCCCTCCAACGAACGGTAAACGCGGGCAACAAAAGCTTGGTGGAATCAAAAAGGAGGAAGAAGCGAAACAAAAATGATGTTGCAGCTGCCACAATTTGCTGCACTTTTCGCGTTTTATGCGATTCTGTCTTGCCGCTTTATTTTTTGTTCTCCGTTTTGCAGAAGTTATTACGTTGAATGTGAGCGCGATAAAGATCCCGATTTTAAAATTAGGCCAATGCAACAGTGTGTGTGTGTGTATGTTGGTGCAACTGCAACATGTGCACAATTAACGCTTCCTTTTGGCGTGCAGGCTGCATTCAGCTGAACTGCACGTCTCTTTCCACGGGCGATGATAAATCAAGGCGTTCAGCTGAGGCCGGCCAAGTCATGCCAACGGTCAACAAAGCCAACAGCAAAAACAGCAAAACAACAACATCAGTTAAAGAATTTTGTTTTATTGTTGCTGCCATATAAATCGGAAATGCTCATTCTTTGTTGTTTTATTTATTTCTCAACTGTGAACATTTTTTATGGCATTTGCGTGCTCCTTCATTTCCGCTCATGGAAGACGCGTCGCCTGTGATATAATACGCGCCAAAAAAAATAACGAAATCGTTATTATATAAACAGTTGCGTTTAGGTAATTCACCAACTCGCCACGCTTATTTAATCGTCAGTCAAATTTCCAGTTGCCTATCTAATCAGCAGGCGATAACAAGCCACGTTGCCTACACTAACCGAAAACGACTTGCATTTTCCTTAATTTCTAGGACGATAGGAAGCTTAATTGAAGAAGAAATTGTGAATAAAATGTGTCCAAATAAAAGAGTCCTGTACCCATCCCTTCTCCGCTATAACTGTTTATCTACAGACGGATATTACTTTGTACATTTATTTATATGCCTGTTACATACATTCGGTATTTAGACTTTCTAAGGTACGTTCATGACTTCGAATTTCAGCTTAAAAAGATATTTATATTTTTGTAGCTAAAATGCACCAAACTGAAATAGTTGAAATAATTAAATATTTGTCATTAAGATAAATATCAATCGTTTTGGAATCTTTAAACTTACTTAAAATTGTAGAAAAGACACATAATAAATACAGATTCATAAAAAATAATCATTCGTAAGATATATTCTTAATAGGGTGTTCAAGTGGAGATAAAATGGATTAACATGTTTATTAATTTGTTAATTAATTTGTCAATAATAATAAATTTAAATAATCAGTTTTGAACAAATGATTACTGTACTATAAATTCTATAATGCAACATATTGGAGCTTATTTATTTCAACATGAATATTCTGCCTAGAATTGACATTATAAATACATTACATATCAATTTATTAATGAATCAATTTATAAATCCACTTATATACATACTATGAAAAGATTTCATTAAATAATTTGACCAACATTTTTATATTATTTTCATGAATACTTCAATTCTAAACATGCTTTCGTTCAAAAATTCTTGATTAGTTCTTTCGCGTGTCCAAAACTATATACATGCTACATGGTCTGTAAATTAAATATTATATTAAATATATATTTAGATATAACTTAAAAGATATCTTACGTTTATTAAAAACATCTCGAAAGAATTTTTATATATTTTTTCTGTATATCCGCATATTTAAATTTATCAATAACATATTCTCAGTGTTGGTTATGGCTGAAGATTGAAATTCATATTTCCATTAAGGTTTCGCTCAGTGTAATTGTACAGTGTTTGCATTGAAGAGCTATCTAAATATTACACAGCAACTGCTATTTGCATGCGTATTAGTGTTCACACACGCACACACAACATACACAACCGTTATGCTCGTATATGTATGTATGTGTGTGTGTGTGTGTCTGTTTGTATGTATGTATATGGAACTAAAGCCTAGTCGCTTCATGAACGACAACAATGCGCGCAATTCACTGAACACTTTTTGGTTCTCGTTTTTCAAAGCAGTTTTATGATTTTTTGTTATGCTCGCTTTGCAACATTTTAAATTTTGCGAATTAAACACGCATACATAAATACCAGCTCTGTGCAGATTGTTGCACAAAGAACAATGCGTCATTTGAAAATGAAATGGAAAAGCGCAGACGCAGACGCAGAAGAGAAGTGCAGGGCAGAATTGTAGAAACGAAAAAAGCAAAATGGCAGCAGCCGGCCAGCCAGCCAGTCAGCCAGCCAGCCAGCGCAAATGTAGGTGACATGCGAGGGCGGGCGGAAGGTAGGGTGTACAAATCCACACACACACACACTCACATGCACTCACACATGAATTGCATGTGCAACAAGGAAAATGCCACGCCAGAAGCGAGGCATGACAGGTAAAGCAGTGTGACAGGCA